ATAAGAGATTTGCTATTTTATGTTTGCATTCAGGTGTGTTCTCTATTTTACTAAATTCAATAATTAATGAAAACAAAAACTTACCATTGACAGTTCACTTAAATCCTCTAGTGTGATATAGAATTCAGAACAAAGTTTTAAACTCAGTCAAATTATCCTTGGAGTCATGAAAACTGAATTTAGTATATTGAATATGCACCATTCACTGAACTAAGGAGACATTCCTCTATCTCAGACCCCACAGTTTTTTTTTTTTTTTGTTTTTGTTTTTGTTTCTCTCCAAGCCATTTCTGGATTTCAACACACCTCTTGGAAGTGAAAAGATGCCCAGCATTGAAGCAACTCACCAAAGGACATATTCTCCTGAAATACATTTTTAATTTTGTACTTCCTTGCCATTATGCACACACTTCAAGCACATTCTCCCTCATGATTAAAATGTTCTTATACATTTCACATCCCTTTCAAGGCAGTGACTCTTCCAAAATAGAATTCAATAAAGGAGGGAGTTAACATTGTTCCAACTTTCAAAAGCATAGTGAAGCTGTGATAAAATACAGCTCGTGAACATGTATCCCATGATAATGCTCTTGGTTCTACATCTAGGTATTTAACACTAGGGACACAGACCCTGGAGAATCCTGGTTATTTTGAAGAAGTATAAACAACAGAATTAGAGAAATTCACTCATCTGTTGCTTGGAGAATAGTTTCTTCTAAATTGGCAATATATTGATAGACTTGTCTTAAAAATGCCTGACTTCTATATGGAGGTTACACTCTGAAAAATCACAAAAATGTCAAAGTAAGAACAGGACCATATTTATTTCAATCATGCCAATATAATCATACGTTATAAGCATTTTAGTCTTGTTTGATTTGTTTGCATAACATTCTGCCTAATCATAGATAATGTTTGTTCAAAATAAAAATGTCAAATAATCTTAGTCTTGAAATAATGAAAAGATGGATATGGTTTTATAATTTTTTCATGTACCAACCTAGGTACATGTATTTAGACAGAACTCTACACTGTGGTATATTTTCTAAATATGCCTTCAGCTAGGGAGTTCAGAAAACTTGCATATGTTAAGTATCTGGCTTTCACTATAGACCTAGCTATATTCTTCAGAACAGCCCTATAGATTATAGCACTGGTATTTTTCATTCATCTATCATACCTGCTACATTTACTCTTATAGGGTGCAGGTCATTGTAAAAACAATAGTGGTGTCAAACACTTACCACAAAAATAATACCCAGTTTCATGACTATGAAGTCTTGAGAAATGCACAGAGGCACTGACATTTGAAAATAATAAATACCAAGTTATTTTTGTGGTTGTTGTTAGTTGTTTGGTTGGTTGGTTTTTACAGGGGATTGGAAATTCTGACACAGTTACACTGGAGGAATTGGGAAATAGGTAGGAAAAAATGAAGCAGCATTTTATGTTCATCTTTACAAGTATCAACTGTTTTCAATTGGGGATAGCTTGCAGAATAAATATTTTTGCTTGGAAGCACTTTAGCTGGTTTACCCACATCAGTGTATTAGCTTAAGTTACAGCAGAGATTAATCAGTAAAAATACTTTTAAGTCCAAGCAAATAAGCGCTTTAAAACAGAACACTGAGAACCAAAATCATTTCATTTTCCCTCTCTATTCTACTTTCATTTCACTATGGCATGTAAAAAAAGTAAAAGAATAAAAGAAGCCCAAAGCCATGTGTGCACTATAGCAATTGTGCAATTATTTCTATGTTTTAAAAACTACTAATTCTTTATTATATTAAGTGACAAAAGGTACATATGCTTTCCAAACAACGTGAAGATTTTGGTTTAGGCATCTGTGTATCTGATATTGACTGTTTTATCATCTGATTGGTAGTCTCATTAGATTTGTAAAGAATTATTTTAATGAGCTGTGGACATGATTTTTGATCTAGGAACTAAACTCTGGCTGTATCAACCAAGAAGAGATATTTGCAATATAGAAACAGATAAGAATTTCATATCTTCATTGTGATGATGTTTATCCTTGAGTTAAAATACAGAAGTATCCCAATAACATTCTGCATAATCATAGATAAAATATGTTAAAAAATGATGTCAAATATTCTCAGTCATAAAATAATGAATGAAAAGATGGATACGGTTTTATAATTTTTTCACTTTTACTAACATAACAATTATAGTGAAAAGCAACAAGAAAATTTAAAAAGACCCAAACAAACAAACAATAACAACCCTGAATGACTGGTTAATGTATCAGAACATATTTTTAAAGAACATATGCTGTGATCCAAAATGTGAAAATTTCATATGTGTTTAGGGGACTCATGCTTATGAAAGCTCTAAGCAACATAAATATTTAGATAAATGATCAATGATATTATTAATTAGAAATTGAGTAGTGTTATTTTCAACACATTCAAACACAGTTGATTTTAAGGGTGAACTCATGTAATGATGAAAACATTAAGAACTATTTATTTTAAATTTTAATATCAACAAATATACATATTCTTTACCCAAGGAAATGAAAAGGGATCTACTTGATAAGGGGGATTCACATAAAAATTCCAGAAGGAACTTCTAATATTGTTTACAATTTACATACTCAATGCAATTCTCATCAAAATTTCAATTACATTATTCATGGGAGTGGAAGAAGCACTCACCAGAATACCCAAAGCAATTGTTAGCAAAAGTAAATGGATAAATAAATAATAAATAAAAAGCCAAAATGAAGCAGGAGGCATCACAGTATCAGACTTATACTAAAAAGCTATAGGAATAGAACTAGTATTGGCTGCAAAACAGGGAAGAAGACCTATGGAATAGAATAGAAGACACAGAAATAAAAACACAAAAACACAGCTAACTCATCCTAGACAAAGGAGCCAATAACTTACACTAGGGAAAAGACAGCCTCCTCAACAAATTGAGCTCAGAAAACTGTAAATGCATATGGAGTAGAATGAAATTTTACCCCTCTCTCTCACCCTGCACAAAACTCAGCTCACGGTGGATTGAGAATCTAGGTATTAGACCAGAAATCTTGCATATACTAGAAGAAAACATAGGCCCAACACTTCAATATATTGGAACAGGACCTGACTTCCTTAATAAGAGACCCAAATATCAAAAATTAAAATCAATAAACAATAAATGGAATGGCATCAAACTAAAAAGCTTCTTCACATCAAAGAAAACCCTATAGAATGTAAAGAGAAAGTGTACTGAATGGGAGAAAATCTTTGCCACTTGCCCTCAAGATAGAGCATTAATTTCCAGGATAAATATCAAGAACCCAAAAAACTTAACACCAAAAGAAAACCAAATAACACAATCAATAAATGAGCAAAGGAACTTAAAAGGCAAGTCATAGAAGAAGAAATACAAATGGTCAAAATATATGTATGAAAAAGTCTTCTCTAGGAATTAGTGAAATGCAATTTAAATCCACACAGAGATTTCATCTCATTGATGTCAGAATGGCATTATCAAGAATACAAGTAGCAATACATTTTTGATGAGGATGTGGGGATAACTCTATACTCATACATTGCTGGGGTGAGCACAAATTGGTGCAATCAGTCTGGAAAGCAGTATTTAGATACCTCAAAAAACTAGGAATGGAACCACCACTTGACCCAGATATCCCACTCCTGGATAAGTACCCATAGGATTTAAAATCATCATACTACAGTGAAGGAGCTCCACTAATGTTTATAGCAGTCATTTTACAGTAGCTAAGTATGGAGCCAACCTAGGTGTCCTTCAGGAGATGAATAAAGAAAATGTGGTATAGATGCACAATGGAGCCTTTCTCAGTCATAAAGAAAAATTACCCATGACATTTGTGCTGACAAGTGGATATATCTGGAGACTGTCAAGCTAAGTGAAGTAAGAAAAAAAACCACAGGTCACATGCTTTCTCTGATACTCAGAAGAAAGGTAACTCACAATAAAGTGCAGGGACAGGGAATGAGGGGAAAATAGAGGTGCACTAGATTAGATAATGAGGAATGGAATGAAGGGAGGAAGGATAAGATACACATGAGATTGCATTTTCCATATATTTAGGGTTCAGAGACCAGGAAACTCTGACTCTTAAATCAGACGTCCTGAAATACATTTCCCAACCAACTGTTTAATACTTTTCTTTCTTAGTGATTGTCATTCTATAAATTTTAGAAGAAAAGGAAAGATGCACCATACAACATTGACTCCTTTGTTTAAGCAATTGAGTGAGTACATAAGGCAATTTACTGATAAAATATTTACAGAAGAGATGAGTTGATTATTAGAATGCCTGATCAAAGGCACAATTTCAAAACAATTGTGTCATATCCCTCAAAACAGGGTACAAGTATTGTTAGAGGTAAGTATAAATTTTTTATTGCACTCCGCATTATCTCAATACATTTCATTGAACTCTAATATATTACACTGGAACTCAGACAACAAGGGATGCATAAAAGTAGTAGCTCTTATTTTTAATACCTACTTGCTGAAGTCAGTCAATAGTTCTCATCATATAAATAAGGGTTCTCATTGTACTTACTCTATTAAGGTGAAACAAAAAGTGATGCTTTATAGAACTGCTGGGTCAACACAGTGAGATCTAAAGACTCGCATATGAATCTGCTGCAGTCACTGTTCATTTTTGTTTCTGGCACCTCTAGTAAGCACAAGGAAAAGCTAGGCTGTAGCACAAGGAGTGAGTTCTAGATATGGACTTCTAACTCCTTATTCTGACTTCTGTAGTGTTCACTGGGGAAATTTAGAAGCATACTACCTTTTGAAATTTTTTAGAAGAAATACACAAAAGCAGCATATTTTTTTAAAAAAACTGAAAATTATAAAGCACTCTGAACATTATGATCATTTCATATTCAATATTTCATGAATGTAAACATGTTAAAAACATTCAGTTGAAACAAGTTTCATATAATTTTTTTAAGAATCATGCATGCTTAAGTTATACAAAAACATATTTATCTGAATTTTACGTAGAGAGAATGCAGTTTGGTGTAGATTAGCCTCCTGATTGTGTCTTTCACATCTTTGTTCCTGAGACTATAGATCAGGGGATTCAGCATGGGGATCATGACAGTGAAAAGAATAGTGTCTACTTTGACCAGGAGCCAGGAGTTTTGGGCATGGGGAACACAGTAGAGGAGAAGAATTATCCCATGGAAGATGCTGATGGCAGTCAGGTGAGAGGCACAGGTGGAGAAGGCTTTGCGGAGGCCACCCTTAGAAGGCATCCTGCTGACAGTGGCTATAATGAAGCCATAGGAGGCAAGGATGATCAGGAGGCTACACACTTCATTGAATGTAGAAATGACGAAACATGCCATCTGACTGAAAGAAGTGTCAGAGCAGGACAAAGAGAGGATGGCAGAGTACTCACAGGCAAAATTATTTATGGTGTTAAATCCACAATAGGACAGTCTTACCAGAGAATATGTGAGTATCAATGAGCAGAGGACACCCCACATGTAAGTTCCAGCCACCAGGAGGGCACAGAGCTTGCGAGACATGGCTACTGTGTAGAGAAGGGGTTTACACACAGCCACAAATTGGTCATAGGCCATCACTGCCAACATGAACATTTCTGTAATCACACATGCACAGCCAAAGAAAAACTGTGTCATGCATCCATTGAAGGACATAGTTCTGTCTTCCACAACCAAGATCTCTAACAGCTTGGGTGTAAATACACTGGAGTAGCAAATATCCAGAAATGAGAGGTGGCTGAGGAAAAAGTACATGGGTGTATGCAGCTTGGGATTGATCCTTCTCACTATAATTATGCCCACGGTCCCCACCAGAGTGACTGTGTAGATGGTGAGGAACAGCAGGAAGATAGGTGCCTGGAGCTGTGGGAATTCTGAGAACCCCACCAGGATCAATCTGTCTATAGTGCTCTTGTTTCTGACTTCATGATCCATGATTCTTCTTTAAAGAAAAAATATGAGGAAGAAAATTAAATGGAGCAGCAGTAATTGACATATTAGAGAGGCAGAGACTTAGGTGATGTTCAGTGTGGCCCAGTGAGGACAAAAGCAGCCAGTTTACAGTGGTGAGTCTTCTGCTTCCTCTTGGGTTGTTACTCAATAACTTGTTGCCCATTGATTCAGAGCAATTAGCTGTGTTCATAGGACTGTAGTTTTCTTATCTGGAATGAAAAGTGGTAGTGATCATCATTATTTTTTAATGTAAATTGTCTATAAATGTATCAGATACATGGAAGACTTTACATTAAAATATTTTATGACAACCAAGGAGACCTGTTCAAATGTCAGACCATCATTGAAATGATCTTATTACTCATATGATAATGCCACGAGAGTCACTGGAAATAGTAAACACTTTCAATATGCAAATAAAAAAAGAATAAAAATGAGGGGGGCAGAATATATCTTGTCATACATTCACTTTTCTTTATCAATATAAAGAACTTATACATATTCTATTCATATCCTATTTGCCTTTACTTTCTTTTCTTTTTTACTGTGGAATGAATCCATGTGTGCTTTACCACTAAACTCCATCTACAATTGTTTTGATTTTGCGGGACAAAGTCTCACTAAGTTGCTGAGGGTCTGCCTAAGGTCTTGGGGCTAGCCTAGAACTCACAATTATTCATCCTCAGCCTCTCAAGTAGCTGGAATTACAGGTGTGCTCCACTGTCCCTTGCCCAACAAACCCTATTTTCAAATGATGATGAAACACCTACTGAAAAGGACTTTTAAGTGGTCCCATGAACAATTCTACTGAAAAGCATTTTCTTTCTGTTATATATCAAATGTATAGTAATTTATAAGGTTTACAATGCTGAATAATAAAAATTATTTCTGTATGGGTATTTGGAAAATTTCTTAAAGATTTCACATTTATTACCTTTTTCCACGTATGCATTTTGTAGTACATATTAAACACGAAAAACAACCCATTATCAGCAGTTTTGAGTAAGAAAAATGTAATTTTTCATTCCAAGTAATCCAAAACACTTTAGTCATGATGTCATTTTTGAGTGCTGACCCAGGAGGAATGAAGGAACATGGAAGACTGAATAATTAAAAAATATAATTAAAATTATATTTGTAATCCACAAGGATTCAAAGTATTAGAAATTTCTCACAGCTACACCTGAGGAAAAGATTGACTCTGAAATCCAACAACTGGTGATGTGGCATTTTAACACATACAAGAACTGGAGCAACTTTTTATGCTCATGTGTCTCCTGTTCCAGTCTTCCATGAAAGCCACCACTATTAGTTCCAGAACAGAGCAACAGCTGTACTATTGCACTTTTCATTGCACAGGAGAGCCAGGGACCTTTGTGAACAGCATTCAGCTGGTCACACATGTTGATGAAAATGTGTTGTTTTGATATTCAGGAATTTAGCTTACTTTATTAAGCTAAAACTGCACTGGTCAAAATTTTTGCAGTGCCATCTCCTGCTCATAAAACGAAGCCTGATGAAACCATCATCTCAGTGAAGGTTCTACAAGTTGGCTTAAATGATGAATTTCTTGGTGGTTAGTATGGATTCTGCTGAATGGTTAATGCATACTAAGTGCCCTTCCTGAGAGTCTCTAAACGAAGATCTGAACACCTTTTAGACCAAGCACCGTTTAGAAGTTGAGAATTCTCTTTTCACAAGCTCTGTTCAATGTCCATTAACAATAGTTTTAATGATCATTTTAATAATAAAATTCGAGTTCATATTTAAGACTTCTCTTCAAACCTTGTCATGAAAAGAAACTAAGACACTAGTCACCATAGTCAATTCTATATTTAATTATGTACCTTATCATATTCTTTATTAGTATTAATTTTTATATTTTTTTTGGTTACCATTACATAAGCCTCTCATTCTGGGGATCAAAGAAAATAAGGCTGATTCTCACAATATAGACTTTCAAATATTTTAAGACACTTTATGCAGTCTTCTTCCTTTGTCTGCATAAACAACTTTATTTAGCATTTATTTACTTTCTTATACAGAGAATATATTTGAGAGTGTCAGATCAATATTCTTATCATAACATTAACCTTCTTTATCCAACACTAAAGTACTAACATAATTTCACTATCCCAAGAAAATCTATCAAGGCCAAGAAGGAAGAAACTCAGGAAACTTATTATTTCCATACCTCTAAAAAGGCACACATTGTAGTTAGCTATTTGAAATGAGCCTGGTTAATTCACTACCTTGTCAAATTTTGTCCATGGGTTACTGGTGAACAACAAACCTGACACTTATACTTTAGGATCCTGAAAAACTAGTCCTAGACATTCATATTCTGACTCACTTTGGTTTTCAAAATTCACATTCCCTTTTGAATTCCAGTGCCCGTGGACTCCTCCCATAGTGCTTAGATCATCCTCATTTCACATTGTTTTCCCAAGACTGCTTGGTGCCTTTGGCTTTTGCTTATCCTTTCAGAAGCTTAGGTTGGGGCTGTTGTAAAATCAGGCAGAGTTAATGAAAACGAAGGAAATGTCAAGCTGTCCTTCATTCTTTACTCCTACTGTTGCCCCAGGCATTTCAACAGCACATACTTTGCTGTCTAAAAAACAACAAAAAAGAAAACTATCATCCAACTAACCCTTGAATACGTTCATTAAAGTTTTGACTCCACTCTTTCAAAGTGAACAAACAAACAATTCTGTCAATTCACACGGGTATCTTAAAATTTTATTATGAAAATATTTATTTCTTCTAACCTACCGAATTGACTCTATTTCTCCACTTTTGTTTTAATCTATCTTATTTAATCACAATCTCCCTACATAGATTTTCCAAGAAAACTTTTATAGTTATCCAAATATTATTATTTTTCTCATGCTATAGTTTCCTTGCACTTATAATTCACATTTATTAAAAATACAACTTTTTAAAAAATTCTATTTATAAAAATACGCATATTTTTATATGCGTGCCTGTGCTTTACATTATTTTCCTGAATTCACAAAATTTCATGAGGAAAAAAACATACTTTTAACCCCTTGCATATGCGACATAAGGGCAAACTTTCAATCTCAGCAAAATGATCCCAGGAACAATGAAAATAGAGTTTAGCACTTTGAATATGTACCACTAGCTGAACTAAATAAACATTACTCTCCTTCAACCCCACTGGGTGTTTTCCTCCCCAAACAATTTCTGGATATCACATATCACAACACCAATCTCACATATGAATGAAAAAATGCCCAACATTAAAGCCACTCACCAAAAGACAGATTCTCTTCATATACATTTTTAATTGTGGCCTGTCTTGCCATTAGTAACCACTACATGCACATTCTCTCTTACAATTAAAATGTTTTATATGTTTTCACATTCCTTTAAAGGTAGTGACTCTTCCAGAATATAATTCAATAAAGAATGGAACTAATAGCACTTTTCCAATTGTCAAATATTTTGGTGAGAGTATAGCGATGCCCTGAGGAAGAGACAGATCTTTAACTTATAATCCATGACCGTGCTTTTTGTTTATGTCTCTCTGCTTAACTCTAGGGACACCAACCCTGGAGAATCCTGACTATTGTGAAGAACTTAAACTAAAAACAGAATAATTAGAGAAAATTCCTCTTCTGTTACTTGGAGTACAATTTCCACCAAATAAGTAATATGTTGATTGACATGTCTTAAAAATACCTGACTGTTGCATGGAAATGAAACTCTGAAAATTCACAAAAACACCAATGTAAAAACAAGAACATATTTATTGCACTAATCCCAATACCATTATATACTATAAGCACTTTTAGGCTTATTGTATTTGTTTGCATGTGTGTACAAGTATTTAGACAGAATTCGACTCTACATTGTATTATACATCTTTTCATATGCAACCAAAGTGTGGATTTAATATTGTTTTCTGAATATGCCTTCAGTAAGGGGGTTTACAGAATTGCCATGTGTTAAATATCAGGTCTTTCACTATAGACCTAGCTATATTTTTTAGAACAACCCTATAAATCATACCACTGGATATTTTAATCCATCTATTGTAACTGCTCAATTTACTCTTGTAAGGTGCATGTCAGGGTAAAAAAAAAAGATAATTATATCCAAGACTTACCCATAAAAATACCACCCACACTGCTGACTATGAATTCTTAGAAATGCACATCTGCATTGGCATTTGAAAACAAAAACTACCAAGATTTTCTCAAGATATTGAAAAGTCTCGTACAGTTATAATTGGAAGAGTTGGAGAAGTTGGTAGGAAAAAAAAGGAGCAGCATTTTATGTTCATCTTTACAAGTGTCAGATCTTTTGAATTGGGGATAGCTTGCAAAATAAATATGTTTGCTTGGAAGCACTGTGGCAGGTTGACCCACATCAACACATTTAGTCTAGTATATCAGTTGAAGTTGCAGCAGAGATTAATCACTAAAAATACATCTAAATCAAAACAAATGATCACTTTAAAATAGAATGCTGAGAACCATAAAGCCTTTTGTTTTTCTTCCCTTTTTTACTTATATCTCAGTACGACATATAAAGCAAAACTAAAAGAATAAAGACACCCAAAGCCATGTATGCATGGGAGCAATTGTGCAATTAGTTTACCTTTTAAAAACTATTAATTCTCTATATTATTAAGTTGACAAGGGTACATATGCTTTCCAAAACAGCCTGTAGGTTTTGGTTAAGGGTCTGTGTATCAGATACTTTTTTTTTATCATCTTATATGTAGTCTCATTAGACTTTTAAAGCATTATTTTCCTGAGCTCTGGACATGTTATGGCTATATTAACAAAGAAGTGATATTTGAAATATATAAACAGATAAGAAGTACACATTTTCATTGTGGTAAAGTGTATCCTTGAGTTAAAATACAGAAGTATCTCAATAAGATTCTTCATAATCAAAGATAAAGTTTGTCAAAAGAAAGGTTTCAAATACTCTCAGTTGTGCTGGGGTTG